CTTCCTGAACTGCTTAAGTGAGCAAAGTCAACCATGTTTGCATGCAACCGAATTTGTCCTTCTCATTAACACTTTTCTAAACATTTTGGGAGTTTTTTTCTGTCTTCTACCGTATAATCTCCAAATTATGAATCACCCATTGCCATTGGTACTGTTTCTGGTAATTTTCTAGTGATGGAAACCACAGTCACCAGGCTCAAAACACTTAAACCCCTTGTTTAAGCTTAGTTATCACTCAGAACCCATGCATCAATACCTGTGACAATGTTGGAATACACGTCACTGTTCAGTATTGCTCCACTTTCTTAGACAACAGTCAAGCTCGGTCTCCTCTCCTATCTTGCCATCTTCTCTCCTCTCCTCCAGTCACAGACAGACAGACAGACAGGAAGGCAGACAGACACAGACTCTCTGTCTCTCTGTCTCTCTGTCTCTCTGTCTGTCTCTCTCTCTCTCTCTCTCTGTGTGTGTGTCTGACTCTCTCTCTCTCTCTCTCACACACACACACACACAGTGGACAAATACATGTGCATACCCAGAACCAGACCCTACTGTGGTCTGTGGTCTATTTGTAGGTACTACCACAGGACAGTATACAGCCAAGATCAAAGTCATAATGAAGTGACAAAAAATCTTGAAGCCACCAGATTTGGGATAGTATTCAAAAGCTTGGCGAGGGGGGTGTCATTAATATTTGACTAAGATTCCTTGTTTTTTGGCAGGATCCTAGACACAACCTTCCAATTAGCATGTTTTATGACTTGGAGAAGCTGGTTCCTCAGTTCTAAGTACCTTGTCTGGCTGAAATCTTATTTTGTCAGATAAATTGCAAAGGAATATTTGTACAAGTTTATCCAGACTCAGCCTTAACTGGGAGATTTATATGAAAACAGTGCCCTCCCACTTGTGTTCTTGGAGTTCTTCAGAGGGTTTTCTTCATTATGTCTTCCCAAAATTCTACTTTACTAATAGAACATTAAATGATGTTCTTTTGAGGAGATGCAGTGTGGAAGTTTCAGTTAAATCTTCTCAGAAGAAAGATCTAGACTATGACATTACATTAGGGACTGAGAGCAAATTACTCACCATGACATGATCTTCTTAATTTCTGCAAGCTATGAGTCAAAATGCAATTAATGCAACTTGAACTATGCAGGATTAAACCCTCATTTAATGAAAACACTTTGATGGTGCCTGTTCAAGTTTTATAATTTGTGACCTCTGGACAAAGTCAGAAATATCAATGAGGAATTCTTGCAGGGCTTGTCATGTTGTTTTGAAATTTTAACCACCTATGTGTGTAATATTCAGCAAGATGCACATTGAGCTAACTGTAGTTTAAGAATGGCCTTGATGTATTGTTGCATGAAAGATACACCAGACATTTCCCAGCAGAGTACTTTGAGCTTCCTAATGTAACTTTTCCATCACCATCAATCTGCTTTGGGGGAAGACCTACAGGCTAACACTTTAGTTGTTCTAAATTTGCAGCAGGTTGGTAGAAGACATTATTTCCCCAGTGATCTTTCTGGTTTAACTTAGAAATCAGACACATGGCATCTCTAGAGGTGCCCATCATAGCAAGGATTTGTAATTCTGTGATTAGCAGCCCTTCCACACATATATTATGCTTTGAAATTGAGACATTACATCTAATGGCTTGTCTAATTTTCTGGTAACCTTCACCACAGGTAAAACAGTTGCCATTCCTGAGAGACACAGAAAATGCCCACAGTGTGGAGAGCTTCTAATAATGAGCATATGATTATACCTACATTTAGTAAGTTTGTCAAAAGAATATAAATGTGTTTATGCTATGAGAAAAACAGGACATTTTGCCAGTAGTAACCAAGCCAGAATCTTTTTGACAGCCATCAGCAACCTGAAAGTTTTCTAAAACATTGTTCTCTTTTCAACTCCAAAACTCTCAAGATCACAACTAGCCAGGGATGACCTCAAACCACAAAATGGAAGGAATATTAGTAAGACAAATATTAATCAACTTATGTCATTTTAAGAAGCTAGTAAAATCTAAATTAGTGAAAAATATATGACAAAAGATGCAAAACTTTAACTGAGATAGATTATTGTCCTCGACTTTTCCTTGGCTTCAGCAGATCATGAGAACTCATATGTTTCATAAGGAAAAATGCAAATATTTGCTTATGTAATTTGCATAAGGATATCAGCAGTTTGAATTTTGTACTAGCATTTATATGGTGCTAACTCACTCAGATACATGAATCTTCCTCTCCAACTAGACAATCAGCTGCTTGAAATGAGGAACTCTGGAGACACTTCCCGATTGCAGTAATTTACTGATTGTAAAGAACTGTTTAGGCCTACACTGAACTGTACTTGAAGAAGGAGAAGAGCATCTCCCCTTTAAAGTGGGTGTTTATCCAAACAAAAAAAGTAACAGAGGAGACTAGTTTACTAACTAACCGAATGACTTCAGGCATGTTATTTAATAATGGTCCTCTATGTCCTCATTGGCTATGTAACCATTTCAGTGAATTACTCTGAAGTTTAAATGAGATGGACAGTATAAAAGGTTTATTTCCAAACTGACACTGAGGAATTTGGCTTCTCCATCACATCTATAGATAACTTATTTTTCCATCTCCATGGTAACCGCTCCTTGGGTGGTTATTCTCATCTACAGATTGTGGTTGGGACAGAAGGAGACCTGTGTTTTCTGGAGTATCTATCCCTCCCTCCCCACTCTTTCCAGAGTCTGGCTACTGTTCCCTACATGTCTCACTTGGGGCATGCACCAGATGGCAGTGTCCCGTTGAGGACAAGGATCCTCCTGGCCTTTCAGCTCACTGACCAGCTAAGTGACCAGTTGCTTTTCCATCTCTATGTGTGTTACAGGTCAATGGCATTAGCCTTGGGGCCTAGTTGATGTTCAATGTAAAAATAAACACTGGGAGGACCTCTGTGCACGTTCTAGTTCCCTTCAGTGGCAAAGTGTTTCATTTGCAAGGTCAATTGGAAAGGGTACATATGTAACCAGGGTAGTAAACAAGCACTTCAAATAGTTTTCTGTCAATGTTTACATTTCTGCACACTTTAGCAAGTACATAAGGGCCTTCCCAGGCACTCTAACACATACACTGCTAGGCACAGAACCACAGTCATAAGTAATGCAGGCTCATTACCTATGAGAAGTTGTTCCATAGGACTGACAATCTTTATGATGCTAATAGTAGTAGACTACGATTCTGGCTGTGATATTTATTATTGGTGACTTTGATATGCTTTGTGACTGTCTTAGAATTGTTGTGTTTCATAGATTTTATGGGGTTCACTTGCCTTCAGCTAAGACCTCTAAAATCTCCTGGTGGTCAAGAGCCTTCCATTTAAAAACTACAACAAGCATCCCTATAATGCTATAGTCCATTGCATACACATTTGTGGTGGCATTTACCATTGCTGCCTTTCAACAGTAAGGAGTGGACCCTGCAGTTTTTCTTATTTTTATTAATTTATGCTACTAACATTGCTCTAGGCTGCTGCCAGGCTCCTGAAAAGTCTGAACATGGATGAAGCACAGTTCTCACTCCAAAGAGCCATAAGTTTAGCAAAAGGTTAATGATCAGCGAGAAATTGAGCTTCTGCTAAGCAAGTTCACGACCATGCATGTGAATGTGTGCTTACCCATACATTCCATTCTTAGCCACTGCTTTCCAAGGAGCTATTGAGTTGACAGCTTAGTCATTTACACAAAACATGTGTGTGCTGCCTGCTACATGAGTATGGTGGCTGAAATCAAAGAAAATTTCTTTGCTTTTCTTCCCAAGCCCTACACCATCTAGTATTGCCAAGTTGGAAAAATAACTGAAGGAGATTTTCACTCCTTAATTCTTATTCACCCCCCTTTTCTGCATCTGTCCTGAGCTACACCACCAGGAGCAGTCATGTGCCCTCTGGTGACCTCTAAGGACTCCTTGGAGTCTGATTTTCCTACAGGTGGCTGCCAGTTTGGTCTTGGGAATCTGATCCACTCTTGGATTTTTTGCAGGCTTCACAGTGGCATTTCAGTGTAGGTGCCATCCAGATTCCTGTTTCACTTGTGCCCCAATATGTACAAGGACACCGCCTTGGCAATTCATAGACCAGCTCTGCCCCTACGGTGGCTTGCTGTCCCCAGCAGTCTAAATGCCAACACCAATGCAAGTGCAATGAAGAACTAGCTTATTGGGTGCCTGGCCAGTTGAGTCCCACTGGTGCCTATTAGAGCAGAAAATGGCCAACACATCCAAGTTTCAGCTCAGCTGGATAAATATCCGAGGCTTAGATAGAAGGGCTCCCAAGCCTGCTCATCTTTCTCAAAGTATTAAAGACCATGCTTGTGTATAAGATGGAAGATGAAATGAACTTAGAAATCCCGGCTTCTCTGTAGCATTGTACTTTTTATGGGGATGTGATTGGCCATTCCCAGAACGTATATGAGCTGAGATGAAACCTGGACAGCTGCATGGTTTCAAAAAACATGTTATGCTTTTCTAAGGTAGCCTGGGATTCACTATGTAAAGTTTTCTTCCTGCCTTGAAACAGTGTCAGTCTACTATTTCCAGGAGGCAAAACCTAAGAGTAGCCTACAAAATCACATGAGAAAACAGGAGCAGAGCCAAGGCAGACCTCACTTCTCCTGGCAGCTGGTCCACTGCCTGTTCTCTGCACTGAGCTGACTCAGACCAAGCCCAGTGCATGTCTTGTGAGTTTCAAAGGGCAGGTGATGACTGCACTCTGGGTGGTGAAGGCAGATGAGTGCTTACATGGCTTTTAAAGGGCTCTGAAAATAACAGCCATTGTCAAGAAAGCTGTAAAAGGAGAACCAGAAGGAAGAGAATCAGGAATCATGGATTGAGATGGTATTAAAAAGTGCTAAAAATGTGGGGAGATAGCAAAGAGTGAGTCAGATGCAGGCGTGGGTGGTTCCTTTGTGTAATCAGGCCTATGTTCACTCAACACTAGTGATGAAACTGGAGAAAATAGCTAAACAGATTTATTAGGAAAAAGAGGCAGAAAAATCTTTGTTAACATCACAAGAAGGGAAGGGTCATATGGTATACTCCTTATTGGGTAACTCTTTGAAGTCTAAAGCACTTCCTCATTTAAGAATTTCAGTCACTGGGCTTATCCTCCAAACAGAAGTCCCAATTAAAAAAAAAACAGAACCATTTTTAAAAAGAGACAAGCTTGGTGGTGTATGCTTTCAATATTGGTGCTGGGGAGGGAGAGACATGCAGAAACAGCAGAAATCTCTGTTGATCATTGGTTAGGCAGCTAAAAAAGCCTTCCTGGCAAACTCCTAATCAACAAGATGTCTTGTGTCTTAGTCGTGGATTTATTGATGTCAAGAGACACCACTAACATGGAAACTCTTATAAAATAAAGCATTTAACTAGAGTTGGTTTACAGTTTCAGAGGTTTAGTCCATTATCATCATAGCAAGAAGCATGGCAATGTGAAGGCCAACTTGGTGCTGGAGAAGGAGCTGAGAGTTCTACATCATGACTACATTATGATCTACAGGCAACAGGAAGTGAAATGTCACACTGGGTGCAGCTTGACCTTAAAGTCTACCTTTACAGTGACACACTTCCTCCAAAGCCACACCTACTCCAACAGGCCACATCTCCTAATTGTGCCATTCTGTATGGGCCAAGCATTCAACCACATGAGCCTGTGGGGGTCATAGCTATTCAAATCACTGCAGCCTGTAAACCAAACCAAACCACCCAACAAAAACTTAAAAATAAAAACAACAGCAAAAATACATTAAAGAAAAGACAAGGTAGCTTATACCTGAGGAGTGATACCCAAGGCTTTGTTCAGCCCTCCCCATGTACAAAGGAACACATGTGGGGTACACATACACATGTGGACCTACACACACATGAACACATAGTCACATAGAATTATTCAGTTTTCTAAATATATGTAAAGGCAGTTTATAATCTAAGACCACAAGGAAAACAATGTTTATAAAGCCACTCTCAAGTTATCATCCAGAGTCTTCCCAACATGTGCAGTGAGGTTACTGCTGAGGGAACATCACTTGGCCTTCTCTAGTGTGGTACTTAAGAAGAAGAAGAAGAAGAAGAAGAAGAAGAAGAAGAAGAAGAAGAAGAAGAAGAAGAAGAAGAAGAAGAAGAAGAAGAAGAAGAAGAAATGCTTTAAATGAAATGCTGCCTTCAGCTTGGTATTCAAGAGACTATATATATTGTTGGCTATGCTATATGGAACTCTTTATCATGACAATGGGGTATCATTTCTTTTCTTATTGGATTAATTCAATTTTAAATTCAACATTGTGTCCATAAAGTTTAATTAGAATAGAATTATATCACTATCCCCCCTTCCTTTTCTCTTTCATCCTTCCTTGGTCTCTCCGATCCTTCCCTGTCCTCCCTCCCAAATTGTTCAGCTTTTTATTATTATAATTGTTACCCACATACATGCACATATATAAATACAGTCTGGATTTTGACAATTTTAAGCATGTATGTAATGTATTGTGATCATATATGTTCCCACCCTCTTTCTTATCCCTCACTCTCTTCTTCCTAACCCACTTTTTCCCAATTAACCCACTTCCTCTTTTCATGTCCTTCTATGACCCTTTGAGTTTAATTAAGATTGCTTGCATGAGGAGGGTTGGGGAGAGCTTACTGGAGCAGTGGCTAACCATTGATGAAGATGGCACTCCTTTCCCAGGCTACCATTAACTACTAAGAAGTCATGGACAGGTAGGTCCTCATGAATCTTGTTCTCCCATCCACATTGGGATTTTAAGGCCAAATTGTGTGCAGATCTTCACAGGTAACCACAGCTGCTGTGAGTTTATGATGGCAAAACCATGTTAGACCAGAAAACAATTTTTCAGTACTTCTTCTCATCCTCTGTCTCTTGCGCTCTGTCTCTCCCATATTCCGCAATGTTCACTGGTCCCCAGAGACGGTGTTGTAGACCTCACTTTTAAGATGTTAACAGTCAAGTATTACTTACTCTCAGCACTTTGACCAGTTATGCGTCTCTGCATTAATTGTCAACCACTCCATGAAGAAGCAGCAGTGTGTATAAGGATAAATGTGTAAACACAAAACACAGTTTGGTTGCATGCCCACTTAGGAAAACACCAGCAGTAGACTTAGGGTCTGTGATTTTTCCTCATCAGGATTTTGACTATGTTCAGTACCAGACATGTATTTCCTCCTATGGAGAAGTCCTCAAGGATTCACCATTCTAACTGGCCCAAATTCTCATTTTTTCTGGGGTTCTACTATCTTCAGTCTGTCCTGATGAAACACACAGGATGTTCTTGCTGCAATGAGAGATAAAGATCACAAAGAAGTCAATGGTAAGTAACAAAAATATAAGTCCTAGTACCCAAGAGTTGCTCAGTTCCTGTAAGGAGGGGTCACTTCACACATTTAATGTCATGTAATTACTGCTGACAGAATGAGAAAATAAATTATTGCAGTAGACTTCCAGAAAGTCAATCTTAGTCTGAGGTCAAGTAGGAAGTTTCCAGAAGGCAATAATGATAGAAAAAAATCAAAATTTCACATACTTTCTCTTCTACGTTGCTGTCTCCCCTAAACAAAAGAAAACAGTGTGTGAAGCCATAGTTTTCCAGTTCTCAGGATAGCAAACCAGATTCCAGAAATGGAATGCAGTGAAGTCACACTCCATGGCCAATTCTTGATTGGCTTTTAATTCCAGATAATCATCCTAGATGTAGCTTTTAATCCCTTTGAGTGGCCATAGCATACACTGTTGGTCCTATGCCAATCACCAGAGTCCAGAACCATCTAAATTCAAGGAAGTGACTTACATGCTTGGGGAAAGTCTTGGAATCATCCTGTTGTTGACCCTCAGCCAGGCTTCTATAACAGTAAATACAATATGGGTCCCTGGTATGGGCCACCCCCAAGGCCCTAGAACAACATGCATATTATTTAACCTCAATATTCAACTTTGGTTGTGTGTAAGGCAGTGAGAAGAGTGCTGCCAGCTATATTGGGTTCTGTCTAGAGCCTAGTTATTTAGTCTGAAAGAGGCCACAGTGATTTTGTTCTAGTTTAAGGAACAGATCTAGCCTTTGAGTTGTGTGATACTGGGGAATGCTAGGTGAATATTTCATGGTTACCTATACAAAATGGATTTCCACCTCTGCTTTTATTTACCCATCTATTTATGCAATAAATATTTATCAAGAAACTACTACAACCCATGCACTATTTTGGAAACATGGAAAGCAAAGATGAATAAGGCATAATTGAGGCTCCCAGGAACTAACAGTACAGCTCTGAGGCAAGCATGTAAACAGAGGCATGTGGTAAAGTGTTCTGTGTATTACTACAGAAGCATATTTAGTGCTTACAGGGTAATATATTCAATCAGATCCAGGGAGGAAAGAGGAGTGTTCAGAAAAGCTTTTTAACATAGACCTTTCTTGAGAACAGCATTTTCAGAAGGAAAATAAGGGCTGTTGGATGATATCAGTAAGGAGATAAATCCTAACTCTGCTACTATCAGGCTATGCAATCATAGCGTTGGTCCTCTGGAACACATACCTGTACTTCAGTGGCCCACCAAAGACACTGTGAATGTTGCATGAGACCACAGTGAATAAGTAAGCACCTCATATAGCTGTACTTAACTTAGTACTTTTCCAGACAGACAGTTCTTAAATCTTCCCAGTCAAGCCTTCTAAAGTCTGGTATGTGGATGTTTCCATTTATCTATGAAAGATGTGCCAAGAGCAGAGAACCTTGACCTAGAAGATTAGAAGTGTTAGCTGTGACAAAAAAGCCTACCTTGGTGACACTTGAACACATGTGGTGCCTAGTGGACTTTATGATCGCCCACATCCCCTTGAAGGATGATGATGTCATTGAGAGCATGACAGAGATTTAGAATTTACCTCTTGCTTTTCTTCTGGAACAATGAGTGAGTTGGATAATCCATGCATGGAAACCTGGACAAAAGATAACTAAATGTGACTTATTTCACAATCTTTGGTTTTTCAGACTAGTCAATGATATATCAAGTGTCTTCAGAGACTAATCAGGCTCAGTTTAATGGACTTATCAGCTACTCAATGTAATACAGCACAGATTCTCATTACTGTTTCAGTTAAGATTCTATGTTTCAGGCAACCAAATCTGTCTCTAGCTTATTTTTAAAAAGTTAATTAAAAGATATAGGAGGCTGGAGATATAGATCAGTGGGTAAAAAAATTGATACCCAAGTGTGGGAGCTCAGTTTCAGATTCCTAGAATCTATGTAAATCCAGATAGAGCAGTATATATACCTGTGGTTTTGAGAATCCTGAAAGCTCACAGATCAGCAAGCCTGCCATTTACAGTGACAAATAAGCGAACTTGTTTGAAGTTAGAAATCAAGGACTGACAAGTCAGTCTGTCCTGTGACCTCCATGTAAAAATCATGGCACATTTTCCAATACTTACCTACATGAGCACACACATATGCGAAGGAAGGGGGAAGGAAGAGATATTTCTTTAAAGGGATCAAGCACCCTGTAATATCATTGGGTGGACAGAAAACTAGGCTGTTATTTTCCCAGAAAATGAAGGAAAAAACAAAGAAACTGACTCCCTCTTTCCCAGCTGAAGATTTGGGTACCATTATCTTAAAATTTTTAGTACCACTACTACACAAAATGATGATCTCCATCGATTTCCTTCTGTGTCACTGCACTGTTGAAATCTGTAGTTGATAGAGTCCTTGTTGGTTGACTACAAGGTAGCATAGCAGAAGATATATGAGACACGTCTGAGAAAATAATGCCTGTATAACAGAAAGTATTTATAGGGTATGGAGCTCTGTGACTTAGGGTGTGGAAAAGTTTTCATAAGACCACAAAGCATTGATGCATCACCTAATAGTCTTGCAAGTGTTACTGTTATCACATCTAGTGGCTCAATAGAATTTACTCATGTGTTAGCTAGTGAGAAGCATCATGCAGGAAGGGGTTAAGAATAAAACCAGGAACCTCATTCATCAACAATATTTAATTTGGAAACAGTGAGACATATAATTCACATGAACAAAGCACAATTACCTTAAAGTCCTTAAAAGATGAAGACAGTGATCAAGAAATGCATGTTGCAAAGGGCTTCACTATTCATTAAAAAAACTGAGCTCTGTAGCACATAAAATTTAGTTAGGATGCTTTTCTCTAAGAGATGAGAAAACATGTTTTCAAATTTGAGTATCCATAGAATTGCCTGGAGAAGTTGCTGAAACAAACTACTAAACCCCAAGGGTGACATTTCCTACAAGTTCCCCAGATGGCTCTTTGGGGAATGAAGGCACAGTGTAAATCCCTGAGTTAAGTGTACCTCCAGCTCTAGAGGTCTGTGAGAAGGGGGAAATGTAGTGGCATTCAGTGGGAAAAATATTCATACACAAGGGATTTTGTTGAGAGAAACATTGGACATTTGGTAAAAAAAATAGTCTTAATGGGGACCTGTGGAGCATGTGTGGACTTAGTGACATAGACAGGGCACATTTAGAAGATTTGAGGAATTTTTTTCCAAATAACATGAGGAGACAATGCTGATCCTGTTATGTTTTAAGAGCTGAGAATGAGAAAATTAATTTTTTCCTAAGATAATTTACTTGGGTATTCTCAGAAAAGAGTGGACTAATCCAAGTGTGAATATGGTCTGAATGACATGATGAAGGCAACAGAGCGGCAAGACAAATGATATTCGGCAGAGTGATATATAAAAATCTAAACAGAGATCATTGCCCTAGCTTCTAGTTTACTATGAGACCTTATGCATGCCACAGCACCTCTCTTACTGTTTATTTCATTGGCTGAGAACAAACATGATTCTAGGAAATAGCATGGGTCTAGGATTAGACAAATTGTTGAATAAGAGATCATTCAGTGGGTGATTTTAACATTATAAATGTAGAAAACTGAATATAATGATTCTGATGAGAAAAGGTACACTTTGCATCAATGTTATAGAAGAAAATACTATGACCTTGCTTCACAGTGGAAAAGCATCAGCAACAACAACAAAAACTAGTCTGTAGGAATGTCTGTTTGATAAGTTGCATTCAATTTTGGAGGTTAATGGTTGATAATGTATGGGGAGGCAACAGATATGCATATAGATGGATCCTAATTCAATGCAAACCTGTTAGTTTATTTACGTTATTAATATGATACCCTAGAGGACATAAACCAATTAAAAACCCATTTCAGTTATTAATTGGGTCCCCTAATTGAAGGGACATAATAAATTAATTAAAATGTTCTCCGTTCTATTCACTAAGGAAAACATCTAAGTCAGGGGAAGGACTGGACAAATAGGTCTGTATTAAACTTCTAAACTGAGCCCTATTCAACTGGATGGAAAAGTTGACAAAGCCACAGGAGGAAATGTTTGAGTAAGATGATCAGAAGAGTGAAGGTGGATTTTCCAATTTGTTCTGTATATATAGTGTAATGGTCATGCCATATAAAGAGGTCAGATCTTAGTTTATGTAATTGGAATGTGAGAACATTAAATCAAATGCCTTGAAATGTTCCTCTCTATTGCTAGTGATTGACAGTCACATTGAATAACAGAGCCCAACTATGATTCCTATATCTCACAGTAATAATGAATCAATCACAAGTTTAGATTTTCAGAACAGGTACCAAGTTTCTCCCTGTGCTCAGGATTAAAGGATAAGAAGATTCAATAGCAGCCTATACCTCTTGGGCCAGGGGGTCAGAAATGGGTCTTGCACCTGTGGGAGTGTGTAGAAAGAGGATCAAGGCTTGAGGAGATATGCCAGGCCTACAAGTGCCCTCAGTTCTCTTTCTCAGAGTGGGTGGAAATGGGCATAAGGTCATTCTAGATGTGAATATGACACAGCACATCTGGTAGGCAGGAGGAGCTCAACACAAGGGATGATGGCCCTTTGTCACATATCATTTACTTATATAGAGTTGTCTTTGTATTCAAGGGGGATCATGGAGAGCATTGTGAACCTGTAGGAAATGTTCTTTCTTGTGCTATGTACTAAATCATGGGCCAGTGTTTGGGGTGGCACAGAATAGCAGATTTAGTAACCAGGTTCTGTTTGTTAAAAGAAGCTCCACTTGCATTGAAATTTAAGGTTTTCAGTTTGTGTTTTGTAAATACAAACACATATTGTGCCAAAGAGTATATGTATGTACATAACTAAACTACATGATAGACAAATGCATGAGGTGACAAACTCTGTATCTAAGTGTGGGAAGCACCTTGAAGGCTCCTAAATATACTTGTACCAAAACATCCTAACACCTTTAGAAGCACCTGAACTTTTTGTGCTACTGATTCCATAAACACTATTTGCATTTTTATCTTATATGCATATTCCCTGAATAGGTGTCCCTTTCTTGGCTGTGGTTTCTGAGCACGAAGCTCCATATAATACTTATTCTATTGTCACTTACCCCATTCACATAATGAGAGACATTGTCTTACTATTTCCTGATAAATTACTTGACTCAGATACTGGGGACCTGGTTCAGTTAGTATAGTACCTTCATACTGTTAAGGCATGACTGCTCCTGCCAGCACTGATCTACCCCCAAGAGCATGATGAACACCAAAGACATTCCATATGGAACTTGTTTTCTTCTTGGCAAAACTTGTCTATTGGGCAAAGAAATGCCCTTGCCTTTTGCTGACAGTAAGTACACTGTCCATTCTGGACAAGCAAGATACAAGGAAAAATGACTGATGAATCTTGCCAAAACAGGGTAGGACAGTCTTTCAAATTTTCCTGCTTCTGAAAATGATCTGTCAGATATTCTAGACCTACAGCCAAATTTGGATGCCCCAATGCTACAGAGAAACACTGGGTGATTGTCCAGGCATCCAGTTGTTTCTGTTATTTCTTGCATCTTTCAGAAGTCACTTGCACTTCCTGATTACTCAGGTAATATTTCCTTTCTCAGGTCTTTGATGGGGTTGAAGACTAGATGGTTATAGCTACAATTCTCTTATATCTTAGTTAAGGGCATATAAGATACAAGATTGGACTCTTCAGAATAGGACAGCTATTGGAATATTATCTATGGTCTGGACATGTAGATTGTGTTTCTTGCTTGATGTTCTTGTTGGTTGTAGTTTCATTTTTGTTTATGTTATTACCCTTTCTTTCTTATGGACAGTACTTGATAGTTCTTGTTGTATACAGTTTATGTTAGTATTAGAACCTTCTTTATTATAATAAAAGGAGAAGAGCAAAAAAAAAAAAAAAAGGAACAGATCTCTTGTGTTCAGAATGACTGTCTTAGTGCATACCGCCACCAGTGACTACTCTGTATGCATGCACTGCCCTTAATATCTACCTATTCTCCAATTACCAATAGGGTTTATTGTAATTTATTATGATTTTGGAATCTTTCATGACTTCTCTGTTCTGAAATGTTGTTTCACATGCTGTGCCCATTTTTTTTTATGATGCACTGATGGTCTTTGCTTTAGTTACGTATGTTTTATTTTTAAACCTTTTCCATTCTGTTGGAAATTCGTTGCCTTCTCCCTTCAAACTCTGTATCATGTATTTTGAAAATCATCTTACTTTAAATATAAATCTTTCTCTTATTTGAGTTTTTAAAATAATGATTAGTCATTCACTAAAATATGAAACAATGGTATAAAAAAAACGTGGTATAAAACCACCGTAGAAGCATTTTTTCTTTCTTCTTTTGAGGGGGGGGAGACAGTAAATTTGTAATTCCACCAGAGAAACTGTGTCCAGACATCTGTTTTGTGTACAACAGTAGATAAGATTTTGCATGTTTTTTCCCCACTTGTAATATCCTCACATGACTTTTCCCCATCACTGACCTTTAGTAAATGCTCTGTCTCACGTAAGTTTTCAGATGTGGGTAAGTATTCCTCATGTTTGTTTGCCCATATGTTCATAAAATTGTCTTTAATTTAAAGAGTGATA